AAAACTAACTTCTAGCTAAAAAATTAATATGTTTCATAGGGTATCACCACATGGCTGTTGTATGTTTATCTATATTATTTATTTATTTTATTATTTTTCTTATTATTATTTTATTTATTTATTTATTTATTTTATTAATTTTAATGTTGCTATCGAATAACAACATCAAAATTACACTATTTTTAGTTTTTCGGCGTATCTTGCGCCATTTTACTGATCTTTGGCATATCTTGCGTCAATTTAATGCTTCTAGCGCTTTTTGTGCCAAAATGATGCTGTTCTGACCTTTTTTTGCGCTGGTGAACAGGAATATATATAAATATATATATATATTATATTTGACTATTATAGACCCTTTGTCTCTGTTTAATTTTTTTTTTTATAACTTTATCCCTCTTGTTGGACAAGTGGCCTCAAACTCAAGAGGGGGGTGAATTGAGTTTTAAAAATATTTTCACAAAATGTCTCACTTCCTTTCTTGAAATCGATTTTCTTGAGTTAAAATAGTTTGACACAAGCAAAGCTTAGAAAATAGAGATTAACACAAACAAATGGTATGTAAAGTGAAGAGATAAATAAGCTCAAGTAATCAAATAATGCTTATATAAAGAGATGGAGAGTTAGAGAGATTGCAAACACTATATATCCTGGTTCGGTCACCACCACCATGACCTACGTCCAGATTGAAACCGCTCGTTCAACTTTCCACTAACTATCAAGCTTCAAGGGTGCTTGATAAACCACTACAACCTTCAAGAATATTGATTCTTGAAACCTTTACACTTCCACTCACTTACTTAGGTTATGAGCAACCTTTTTCACTAGGGTCTCACTACCCTCAACACAAATAAACAGAATAAGAGTGTTTAGAAAATGATTTGTACTCTTGAAGTACAGATTATACAAGTTGAAGCTTATAGGTATTGATCAATGACACGAGATTAGAGCTCAAAGGTGATTTATGATCAAGATGATGGAAAGTAAGCAAATGATGTGAAATAAAGCAAGAATAATGATTAGGAAAGTTGTCCCATCAATGTGAATATGATCACTATTTATTGAGGCCCCCCATGACACTTTGAACACTTATTTTCACAAAACTAGCCGTTTATAGCTGCCATACTGCTTACTGTCCAGTAAGTATTCGAATACTATTCGTGAGGTATTCGAATACTTCAACTGGTATTCGAATACTTTTATCAAGGTATTCGAATACTTTGTTCTCAGCAGAAGTATTCGAATACAGACAATGGAGTATTCGGATACTTTCTTTAATTATGTAGTTTTATAAGTTGTAAAGTATTCCTTTTGGTCTCTACTCACTTTCAATGTATTTCCTTGACTTGTACAAAATGTTTTGAGGTTATTAAACATGTCAAGGATCTTTTTCATAATAATCAAAGCTTTCAAGTGATAGATGACATGGATAATGCATGCATAGAGTTAATTACCTTTTGAGCTCATTTATGCATCATTAAAAAATTACCTTTACATTTAGATCTAAGCTCTCAAGAGCATGTTTCAATAATGATCTTGTGTGTTAACTGATTTGCTCTTGTTGTCTTGTTTGAATTGCTTCCTTGGACTTTTGATTGTTGCGAGTTGTATTATCCTTAACGTCGCTTCTATGCTTGTTTGTTATCATCAAAACTCTTGCATGATTGAATTCTTCATATTAAGCGCATTGGTTTCACACCTCTTTTTTCTAACCAATATACCATTTGTCCATGTTTGACCATGTTGATCAAGAGTTACTCGAGTAACTGGATTAGTTACTACTTGAGTAATTGGCTCAATTACTCGAGTAACTTAGGCAATTGGGCAACTCAAATTTGGATCCACAAATTTTTTTGATTCAGACTAAGTTCTAAAGTCTTATACATGTATAAATGGACTCGGGATAAGTATTTGCCAATCCAAAACAATTGAGAACAGTTTCCATCCAAGTTTGTATACCCTAAAATTGTGTAAACATTGGAAGAGCATAACTTTTGGCTCAGTTGCCCGAATCAGGTATTTTTATTTTTTATATATCACATTACTTTTCCAGATCTAGGCGATGATAAATTTCTCGATTGGGATTTCGTCAAATACTTTTCCAAAAAAATGCTTCCTTATAAATCTTTAAAAGCAATGTCACATGAACATAAATATGTACATAAAACTTTGTTTAATAAACTTAGTTTAGGGTATTAGAGAGCTTGGATGAAGATTGTTCTCAATTTTTTGGACACTCGAACCCATATATATATGAAGTTCAAATATGTGTACGCATGATATAATAGCAAGCATTGATTAATAAAAATAAAAATAATGCAATTTAACAAGTCATATTGAAAATCAATAGAAAATTATGTTTTGACACCTTCAATTAATGAGAATTGCCCTCAATTGTAAAATGATCCACAAACACCAATCGCAAATCTATTTACACATGTACAAGACATTAGAACTTGGTTCAAACAAATAATATTTGTGGATCCAAATTTGAGTTGCTCACTTGTCTGAGTTACTCGAATAACTCGCGGTCAATATGATCAAATAGAGACAGATTAATATATAGTTTTAATATAAGATCAAAATTAATATATAGTTTAAAAGGAGGGTAAAGTAATAAATATTTTTTAAAAAACAGGGGCACAATGGTCAATCACCCAAATAATATAAATACAAATGAAAATAATACAATACAAATGAGTAACTTTTTAATATATAAATATAATTTTCTTAAAGTATATTAAATGTAAGTTTAAATAAATATTTTAAAATATAATCAATGTGAATCCAAATAAATTTATAAAGAACACTTAAATACAATTTTGATATTTAAATACCAATATAAATTAAGTGTCAATTATATAATATATATTTAATGTAAGAGTAAAAATAAATTTTAAATTTTTTAGTATAATTAAAAATTTAAGTAAATATAGATATTGTGAAAATTTCTTGGTTAAATTATTTTAAATTAAATCAAAATTTGATTTTATAATAAAAATAATACAATTTGATTCAATTTATTATTTTTAATTTCTAGCCACATAGTTAAATTGTCAATATTTTGAATTGTAGAAGTGCAATATGCTATTTTTGAAGTGCTGATAAGCTTGATAAGTCAATCCAAACCTTATATTTTTTAAAAACTGGACAAGCTTGTAATTTAGGTAGTATCATGTTAATCAGTAAAGTCAAGTTTTGAATATATATTTTTTGGATATATTGATGGATATTGAACACATAATCTAATATAAATTATTTAAATCCCTTTCTACTAGACCAATATTAATGGCTTTAGGCTTTGAATATTAAGTCTAACATATTTAAGCTAAAATCAGCCTTTTTTTTCTCGAGTTATTTTTAAAAAAGTAATTTCAGAATATAATATTAGTTCAAAAAATTAGATATTATTAATTTCTAATAATTATCATATTTGATTTGATTTTTTTATTAGACATAAACAGATTATTAATTTTTATTTTTATTTATATCACATTTCTTATTTTATTTTTCATTTTAATAATACTGAATATATTTTTTTTAATTTGTTTTTTTAATAAATAGCATTTCCAATCGTAATAATTTTTTTAAAACATCGTTCCTATAAGAAATTTATTACTAGAAAAAACTTTCACAATCCCAATACGTGCCTGTCCCATTAACATTAAAAAGTATATAATTTACGTGACATTAAAAATGAAAAAATAAGCAGATTAAATACAATTAACTGAGCCATTAATTTCCGTGAAGAAAAATAAAGAAATTACAAAGAACTTATCCTGTAAGACCAGAAATTATGATACACCAACACTTCAAAAATATTGATGTGTTGTATTCGACACTTTTCAACATTTCAACATGCATTGCAGATACTCAAAAAAAGATTCAAAGATTGTGTTACCTTGTATTTTTAGTTCTAACTATTAGATTTGCTGAATTACGATTATTATTTTATTGAGTTTAATATAAATATTTGAGATATTTTATATTTCTTTACAAAATAATAAATATTATAAGTTTTGCTTTATTTTTTATTAAATTATTAAATCTTAAATTTAATATACACTACATAAATTAAATATATTATTTAATATTAAAATGTATCTTAATATATCTAAATTTAATATATCAAAATATCGTATCTCGTATGCTTTATTAGTGTCAGTACAATGTAGGCGATTTATCGGTGCCGGTATAATGTAGACGAGAAATATGAGAAATGAGATTGTAGCTGACCTAACGCATTGTGGCCTAAATTTCATTTTATGAAATTCATTTTTGGGCAAAACAAAAAGCTTATTACGTGTAGCATTGCAGTCTTTAATTGGAGAAGAATTTCGGTGTTCAAATAATTATTAAGGGAAAAAAAATAAAAAAATTTCTTTTTGTTCAAGTATCACCCTTTGAACAGAAGCAGCACATGGTCTCGATATTTCTCTTTAATTGAATAGGAGCTGGTTTTGTGTGCTTTGAGTTCAAGAAAAAATTAGTGAGACAAAAATGAGAGAAAAAAAAAATTGAGAAAAGAGAAAAAAAAAAAAAAAAACAATTCACGTGTTAATTTTTTAACGAAAAGAGTATAATAATCCTAAATCATATTAAAAAAATTCATTGAATAGATCACGTGGGTTGGGGGAAAAAATTCCAATGCATCACCGCAGCACGGAATTTGGTGCTCGGGCAATTTTATTTCTTTTCCTTTTTTACATAATTTTACTTTAAATCTTAAAAGGGGAAAGTGTTTCTCGTTGTAAATGACATAACACTCGGTCTTTGTAAGAGACACAGACACAATAAAAAAAAAATTATTTAAATTTTAAATTAAAAAAAATCATTCATTTTCTCTTTTCTAAAATAACAAATTTTATTTTTTTGTGTCTATTTCTCTCTTAAGATGACATAACTTATTTTATTTAAAATAATAAAAAAAAAAAAAAACCATCTTAAAAATATTCCATTTTTCACTAAAGAGGGAACACCGTTTAGTGGTCGGGTGCAGTTAAGTTTTTCTCGAGAGGGTGATTCGTGGAGTAGGATCAAATATTCGCATAGCAGTAGTTCCCATCAAAGCCAATCCTCCAAACTCTTAAAAAAGGCACAGGCTCAAATCCTCGCCTTACAAATCAACAATTTTGAGTTCCGTTGTCGGAGAAGCCTTTGATCCTGCAATTTCTGATGAGAATACTGCTCCCTCCCTGAAATACGGTAACTACTAACTAACCTATGACCTAATTTCGGGATTACCTTAGCTTTGAGTTTTAACACTGAGTTTTACTTTTTTTTCATTAATATGTCTTTATTTAATTGTCACCTTTCATTATTATTATTTTCTTTCATGTATGTTAATGATTTGTTTGGGAAACGGGATGTGAAGGTAAAGAGCTGGAGATGAATGACATTTTAGTTGTAGTCAATGTATTTGTTCTGCCTAAATTCATTTCTATTATTTTTCCATTCTTTCGTGGCTTGTAAAAATAAAAAATTCGTTTTCATTTTTTGTTTGTATAAAAGAAAATTAATTTTCGATTTGGTGGGGGAAATCTATTTCACAAACTGTGGAATTAGTCTGGAATAGACGATGGTGTGTTGCGTATCATCGCTATACGGCCTATGCATTTCTAATTTTTCCTTTACGTTCCTCGAAACTTTGGAAGATTTGAAATTAAGGACATTCAAGATTTCACTTATTCTCTAAAATCTTAGGGTTACAACTTCCCCTACTGGATGCTATTGCCATCTCGTCGATAGGGTTTGGGTCCTTATTCCAATTCCTATCGAGGAATAAGATCTTACCGAATTTCGCTTCTGCTCTCTCTCTCTCTCTCTCTATATATATATCGTTGATTTGCCATTTTTTTGAAAACTATCATTATAAGCTCTTTTATGCATGTTTGGATCTCAGATGGCGTTGCAAGAAAAGCTAGACAGATTCAAAAAGCAGCAAGAGAAGTGCCAGTCAACCCTATCGAGCATTGCAGCTAGCAAGGTCGCACCCCAAAAACCTATGGCTCATATAGCTGCACATGCCTCAGCTTCAGCCAACGGAAGAAATCCAGTCCCTGCTGTCAAATTTTCAAACGACACAGAGAGGCTTCAGCATATCAACAGCATACGCAAAGCCCCTGTGGGTGCTCAGATGAAGCGTGTTATTGATCTCCTGCTAGAGGTAACTATCCACATTGTTATTCCATTCACAGTGTTATTTCCTCCTTTGATGCAAATATATTGTTCCTTTGTTTTATTAGGTTCGATTTTTTTGTCGGTTATTGGTGGTGCTAGTGATAGCGAAACATGAGATTAAAAAGGGATCTTTACTTAGCACTTGCATTCTTTTGGTTATTAATACTATATTTCAAAATCATGTCCTTAAAACACTGATTAGGAGAATTTTCTATACCAACCTACATGATGTATGATTATGCTTTTCTTTCAATCATCTTTAGATTATATTGTGGCTGATAAAGCTGAAATGGTGGTTCATACACCCTATGTAGCATTGACACTTCAAGAAATCTGAAGTGTTGTGTTCGACACTCCCCTATACTCTGACACGTTCCGATATATATAATATTTGAAATTTCATTAGATATCATGAAAAAATTGATCGATGTTTTACCAAATTAATATATCAAAAATTTAAAATGGATACTGAATAAATCTCACTGAAGTGTATAAGAGATTTTTAATTTGAAAATATAATAGTAAATATTTATATTTTATGTTTCTTTGCAAAATTGATGGGTATTATAAGTTTAGTTTTATTTTTTTGTTAAATTATTGAATATTAAATATAATATACACTACATAAATTAAAAATATCATTTAATATCAAAACGTGTCCTAAAGTTGAAATTTAACATTTTTTAGAATTAACACGTTGGAGAGTCGTGTCCCGTGTTGGTGTTGGTGTAACATAGCATACACCTTTCATCCAATCCCTGCTCTCTCTATGGTTGATAGATATGTGTATCTTCTATTGGTCTTCCTGCACGTAGTTGAAACCATATATACATATTTAGATGGAGGGGGATCACCCCATGCCGAGGCTGGGCATGCCACTCACGCATGACCTACTAATGAAATTCCACTATTAGGAATTGATTGGTTGAAATTATTGTGATTTGGTGCTTGTTTTTGCTGACAGACACGACAAGCTTTTACACCTGAACAAATAAATGAAGCATGCTATGTTGACATGAAGGCTAACAAAGATGTATTTGACAATCTGAGGAAAAACCCAAAAGTAAACTATGATGGGCAACGATTCTCTTACAAGGTAATTTTATTCATGCATATATCTAAAACTTCATATATTCAAATATTCCTTTAGAAAATAACTTCTTTTGTTGTTTGCTTTTGGTCTGTAGTCAAAGTATGGCCTTAAGGACAAAACTGAGCTTCTTCATTTGACACGTAAGTTTCCTGAGGGCATTGCTGTCATTGACCTAAAGGATGCTTACCCCACTGTCATGGAAGACTTGCAGGTAAAACAATTTTTTTTATTTTATTTTTAATTCAATGAACATCTCTTGACATTGATTTTTTAGTAACATTGGAAGTTTTGTTCATAGATATATGTCTAATTCTTATTTCTTACATATTGACGACTCCTGTCTTCGTAGTGTTTTTTGGGAGAAACATGAATGCAAACTCACTATACCTTTGAGAGAAGTTCAAATGTTATGGCCTATGGGCAATACACTTTTAGCAACATGCCCGTAATTAGGAAAGTATATTTTAGAGGAAATAAGGATGGGTGGGCCATCCTCCCGTAGTTAGACCTTGTTAGCTGCAGAGAAGTTGTTCGAGCTAGTTAAATAGCCCTCTAACTACAGTAGTAAAGGTAGGATATGCATTTTGGGAGAGAATGTAAGGGAAGGCACTTGGTTGATGGGTTTGTCTTGGAGGGAGAGACTAGGCTCTCAAATTCCTGGGAAATTTTTCTTTTGTATGCCGTTATTTCTCTTTTGATCTTTCGATATCCATTGATCCAGAGCTGGAGGAGGATGCTCAATAAAATTCCCATATTTCCTAATTTCTGGTCCAGTTCTATCCTACAGTAATGCTGCACATTAGTGGGTTTTTATAAAATCATTTTGTCACTTTCTCCTAACCTTTGCCATTGTAGCATTAAGGCTATTATAAAGGGAATATAAACATATTTTAATACAAAATCTTGTTGTTTAAGGTGGTAGCTTGAATGTGGTTCAACCTTTCCCGCTACTTTCTCATATGTTGGAATTGGAGCTGTGTTAAAATCTGGCTTTTGAATGTTCTTACTGAAGGAGTTCAGTCTGGAGGGAATCCTGCCTAGTAGAACAAAGCCATTAAAATTTCCCCCCTCCTGTCACTTTCTTGCATTTGTTGTTTTTTGTTTTTTATTGAAAGACCATTCTCTTCGCTTCTTTTCTTATTGATGTTTAAATGTTCATGAGATATTAATAAAGGCCGACCCAGTTCAAATACCCACTTCGTGAGTGTCTGGGGAAGGGAATACTCTAGGCAGTCTTTCCCCTGCTTTTTGCAGAGAGGCTGATTCGAACCCGCGACCTGACACACCACGGCAAGCAAGCTTACCGCTGAGCCAAGCCGGCCCTTCATCATGAGATATTAATAGAAGAGTGAAATTTTTAGTACGTGTTTATGGAAATATGTAAATAAGAATAGAACTATTTAATGGAGTTGATCTAAAACGTCTATAATCAAACGACTTGCTGTGGTGATAGGTGATGTTTTTGTTGGAGTGGTGAAGAGTCAAAATCTAGTAAATAATTGGTTTCTCATGGAATAGGACCTTACAAAGCTATCGCTTTCTAGGCTTTGAAAGCTGCAGGGCAGATTTGGCTGCTGTCCAACTTTGATTCACAGGAAGACATTGCCTACCCTAATGACCCCAAAGTGCCCATTAAGGTGGATGATGACCTAAAACAGCTTTTTCGGAGTATTGAATTGCCTCGTGATATGATTGATATAGAGAAGGATCTTCAAAAGAATGGAATGAAGCCTGCTACCAACACTGCAAAGAGGAGGAGTGCAGCGCAAATTCAAGGCCTTTCTTCTAAGCCCAAGACTAAGAAGAAGAAGAATGAAATCAGCAAAAGGACTAAGCTGACCAATGCCCATCTTCCGGAGCTTTTTCAGCACTTGAACAATTCCTGATTAACTCGCCGAAAGTGTTGGATTTCATGACAGAGATAATTTGTTAGCCTAAACTTGATCAGCAGAGTAAAAAATACCCAGGAGTTTCTTATTGCTCTGCCCTACTCTTGATATGTTTTCAATTTTTATACATAAAGGCTGGAGCCAATGCACTGTTGCGCTCTAATAGCAACATTCATAATAAATTGTGAATCCATATATATTAAAACCATGTTTGATATTTTAGTTCCAGTTCTTGTAAGATTATTTTTTTTAACAGAACTTATTACTAGATTGAAAGTTAATTTTTTTCTGCAAATCGCGGCTCTTTATTCAACTTGAGAATCTAACCTACCATATTTTCAGGAGTGGGTTAGGTTAAAAATAGCATAGATTGAATGTAAGCCATCAATGGGATCTTAACTATGTACTTACTCTGTTGCCGTACCTATTATCGTAATCATTATTATTACTAACTGTTGTCGTTTGTGTGCCTGCATGTGTTGAAAAACGCTGCTCCGCATAAACTGGTTGCATCGAATCAAAAAAGAAAAGAAAACGTTGAGACATTTTCCATGAAATTTACTTTGGTAGATAGATTATGGGTAGCACAGACACAAAAGATGCTTACTGTTTGTAATCGAAGTATTGCGTACAACTTCGCTGTTTGCTGCACGTGAAAATAAATCAACAGTTGATCCCAAAAAAAAAAAAAAAAAAAAAAATTGCCTAAGAGAATAAATGAAAGAAAAAAATTGGCTTTTTGACCTATTTAGTTTAAAATTATAAAACTTTGACCGGAATAAGTTTATGGTCAAACTATTGCCCTAAGTAATGCATGAGAACACGGTTCGTCAGTTGCCGAAAAAAGACACGGAAGGATAGCTATCGTTTTAGAAAACGTTCTGATCAGTGCCGTTTTTATCTTGCACAGAAGGCGGCATGTTCACTAACGTTTCTTTGGTGTGTCCGACAACTGTTGAATGTCCTTGCATCAGATGTGTTGTGATGCACTAAAAATTTTGGGGAATGTAAAATGTTCAGAGAGAATAACCTGTCACATCTTGTGCAATAGAAAAATGAAGTGACACAAACCTCAAAAACGTTACCTGTCAGGACGTGTTCAATGCACGGTAAGTTGCAACTCCAAAACCCAATGCAATATATTATTTGAGATAGACGTTTGATTCTCGCGCATGCTCCACGTTGAGAGGGTCATGTTCATGTGTTCAGTCTTTGACCACTGCACGCAAATAAAATGGTACCTGGCCAGACGTTTTTCTAAAAGTGGCATAAGGTGTGCCACTTCTCTTGCAATATTCAACCAGCTCCCACGGTAGCATTGGCAGATTGCTCATTTTTTGTTTCATTCCTGCTCTCCTCCTCTCGGTACATTTCTCTCCTCCTTTCGGTATATTTCTCATTTCCTCTCTTGGTTTGAGTTTTCATGGACCCTTTATTTACCTGAACCACATTCTAACTCCATTTTTACAGCACATTGAAAGTGTATAAAAGTTCCCCGCCACTTCATTAGCTGCATCTTTCATTCCAAGTAAGTATGTTTCATATTATTTTATTTATTTAACATAGGGTAGTCCAAAAAAAATTTATGTTCAACTTCTATATATAATTAATATGTATGTGTAAATATATTGTATGTTTGAAGAGTTTTTAAGTGAATTATGGAAATCATCCACTCACATCTTGTTCAAAACTGGTTTACAAATGGTGTTTTAGATACAGAATAATACTGTTTTTAGATATATATTGTATGTGTAAACTGGTTTACGTAAATACAGATTAATATTGTTTTTAGATACAGTGCATAGAAAATAAACAAAATGACTATTATTTCATGGCAGCGAATTTATTGGCATTTGTTAAAATTTGTATGAATTTTTATTGTATTTTTGTACGTTTCAATTTATTGCCATTTTCATACGTTTTTAGATACACTAACATATGAATTTATTCTTTCTACCAACATATGAATTTTTATTGTGTTTTTAGACACACTAACATATTATTGTATTTTTGAAAATTATTTAATGGCAACGAAATTTTAGATACACTGTTAATTTTTTAATTTGAAGAATTAAGTTTAGGTTAGGGGCAATTAGGTCTTAAAATAATATGAAATAAATTTATTCGTAACATTATAAAGTTAATTTTAATAATTACAATTATTTTATTTGGGTAACATAGGGTAGCCCAAAAAAATTACCATTTACTAAAACTAAATTTTTAGTCAACATTGAGCACAGATTATAAAAAATGAACATGAAATAATGGAAACAAAAAATTTGAAAAAAATATATCGACATTGAGTTATTAACATTACAGAAAATGTACAAATTATATTAATGTTTTATTTGTATTAATAAATTATGTTTTATTCAGATCACTTTTCTACAATTTGTCGTATTTTTTTTATCCAGTTTTGTACAATTTTATTAATCACATTATTAAGTTTTAGAATAGTGTTGTATTAACTATATTAAAAAATTCGCATTGTGGCCTTAGAATAGTGTTGTCATAGTCAGCGGTAAGAGTCTTTAAACCTAACCCCACTTTTCACCATGTGTCCCACTTATTTCTCATTTCAGTTAGGAAAAGACAAGCGATGACGTCAGCAATAACATAATGATTCTAATTTAGAATCTTTCAGCCTCACGTAAGCCTAATGATAACTTCCATTGCAGCGTTGTGTCTCTTCGTTGTGTCAAATACCCAATTATTGGTCATGTAAATATCTATATATAACTTTCACTAACTTTATATATTATATATATGGGAAAAACTATTCTCATGTCTGATAAGAAGGGATAATAATATCTCACTTCGAAAGGAGATAAACCTCCTAAACCATAAGGTTCTGAATTAAAATTTGCTTAACCAATTAAAGGAAAGGTTACATAGCTTTATATCCTAGCACTCTCTCTCCATAACAGAAAAACAACTCTCAGCACCACTATCTCACACACTCACATAACCAATTTCACCACAGATTCCCCCCAAGGCTAACAACTTGCCTATCAGTAAATCCTCACACCTTTCCTACGCATACCCTATTCTGTTACATGTGAAAGTCCCTCGTCCATTTTGGTTTAACCTTATTCCTCTTAGACCACCTATTTGTTGGGCTTGGTTGATGGCCCAACCCATACCCATCTGAGTCCATCTGTTCTATTTCTTGGTCGTTCTCTTCTTCTATTGTATTCTCCTGCATAACATCCCCCTTTTCTTTTGCAAACACCTTGTCCTCAAGGTGGAATTGTGGGTAAGATTTCAAGACTTCATCTAACAGCTCCCAAGTAGAGTCCTCTGGGTATAAGCCCTCCCATTGCACCAAAACACGTTCCTGTCCAGTATTGGGCTCAACAACAGCATCTACTATGGCCAAAGGTTGGATCAACGGCTGATTTCGAAATTCTGCTGCAGGTAGTGCTAAGGGTTGGTCAGCTTGGTGTGGGACAAAAGGTTTGAGGAGAGAGGCATGGAAAACTGGGTGTATTTTGGACTCCTGTGGTAATTCCAACTCAAAAGCAACCTGACCAATACAGTTAATGATTTTGAAAGGTCCATAGTACTTCTTTGAGAGCTTGTGGCTGTTACGGTGGGCAAGGGAATTTTGTCTATATGGTCTGAGGCGTACCAAAACCAAGTCATTCACCTGAAAAGATTGATCTTGTCTATGTTTATCTGCCTCCTGCTTCATAGCTGTCTGAGCCTTCTCCAATTTGCGTTTCAGCTGGCATAAGATTTCTTCCCTGTCTCGCAATTCAGTGTCCACAGCCTCAACATTGCTGGTACCAGCCACATAATGGGGAAATGAAGGAGGAGTTCGGCCAAACACAATTTGGAAGGGCGTAAATCCTGTAGCAGAATGAACAGAGGTGTTATAACACCATTCTGCCCAATGTAAGAATCGTCCCCACTGCTTGGGATTCTTGTGAACATAAGCTCGTAAGTATTGCTGCAGAATACGATTGAGCACTTCAGTTTGGTCGTCACTTTGTGGGTGATAAGCTGAAGACATACGAAGTTTTGTACCACTTAATTTAAATAATTCCTGCCAGAACCGACTCATGAAAATGGGGTCCCTGTCAGAAATAATACTCTTGGGCATGCCATGTAAACGACAGATCATGTGGGTGAACAATTCCGCCACTTTAACTGCAGTGAATTGGGTCGGCAGAGTGCCAAAATGAGCTGCCTTGGATAATCTATCCACCACCACAAAAATGACAGAATAATTTTGGAAAGAAGGAAGCCCTATACTTCCTTTGGCAATGGAATTGGCTGCAACAATCCTTTGGGTTTAGTGGTAGGAGACTTAATCTGCTGGCATGTAAGGCAACTCTGTACAAAGCTACTGACATCTTTTTGCAAACCGAACCAGAAAAAATTTGCACCTATTCGTGCATAAGTTTTTTTGATTCCCATGTGACCACCTAAAGGGGAAGCGTGGAACTCCTCCAGAAGTAGATGCTTAAGGGCTGAGCTTGAGCTAACAAAAATTCTCCCTTGATGAAAAAGCAATCCTTCTACCAAAGAAAATCCCGAGTGTGATTGAGGATCTGTTTCCAATTCCTGTAACAATTTACAGGCCGCCGAATCTAACAAATATTCCTCCTTGAGACGAGCCAAGATCTCGAACTGAGGTACTGTCAAAGCCATATTGTGGGAGAGTGGTTCATGCATCCTTGAAAGGGCATCAACAACTTTGTTCTCAGGACCAGGCTTATAGACTATCTCATAGTCGTATCCGAGTAACTTGGAGAGGTAATAATGTTGGTCCGGTGTCTGAATAGTTTGGGTCATAAGCTCTTTCAGACTTCGTTGATCAGTGTGGATAACGAAACGTCTTCCCAAAAGATAGTGACGCCACTTCTTAACAGCTTCCACAATCGCATGTAACTCACGGACATAAGTAGATGCCGATTGCATTTTGGCACAGAATTTCTTGTTGAAATACCCCAGTGGGTGCCCATTTTGAAGAAGCACTGCCCCCATGCCCGTGCCAGAAGCATCTGTCTCAATTGTAAAAGGTGCTGAAAAGTCCGGTAAAGCCAACACCGGAGATTGAGTCATGGCGGATTTTAACATATCAAAAGCTGTTTGGGCAGAGGTGGACCAAATGAATGCATCCTTTTTGAGTAGATCAGTCAGTGGAGAAGCAATGGAAGCGTAACCTTTAACAAATCGACGATAGAACCCTGTTAGCCCCAGAAAGCCACGTAACTGTTTG